TTTTTTTTCTTTTGGCAGAACCGGGGATTGAACTCAAGCCCTTGTGCTTGCCAGGCAAATGTTTATTCTACTGAGCCATCTCCCTGGCCCCTAGATTTGATCCTTGATGTTGAGGCTTCAGAATGTGATTGGCAAAATAAGATAAGATACATTATTCTAGTCATACAGGAAACTAGACTCAACCCTGAAACATGATCTCACAGAACCTCCTGCCGAATGTATGTGCTAGAGAGATTCTGAGAAGAGAAAGATAAGTGTGGTTCACATACATTACAAATACTTTATGCAGAAGGTGGGATCTGGATTGACCTGCAGAATAACCGTCTCTCCTAGCGTGGGCTATAAAGTGAGCTTAAGACCAGTCTAAGCTGCATAGTGAGACCCTGTCTCAAAAAGACCAGAAAAAAAAAAAAAGAATAACTGTCTCTCATTTCTTCTACAAACATTCATTGAGTACCAGGTGCAGGCACACAACATTGCATATGACTGAATCGGTTCCTGCCCCTCATGGAACTGATATGATAATGCAGAAAGGACATCAAAGAAGTATATAGATAGTAATTTAAGTAATTATAAGTTGTGGTAAACACTATAGAAGCATTTAATAAGAGACTGAGACAAAAACTAAGGAAGAAGGGAATTTATTTATTTTTTTTATGAGCAGAATATATTTATTGAGAGAAAGAAAGTTCCTGTCCAAGAGAGGGACAGGAGGGGGGGCCCAAGCGGGTAGTTCCCCCAGGGAATTTAAACTATAGTTGCCAGTGAATACTTGTAGAAGATGCTACTTAAGACTAAGGGGAGCTTCAAAGAGATAATACAGGGCAACTTGTAAGGGGTAGAGGGAAGAGCATTCTAGATAGACAGAACAGCATGTATAGGAACCAGGAAAGATTTTGATGTACTTGAGGAACCAGATTCATTCATTCATGCATTTACTCTGTAAATATGTATTGAGGTGCTACTGTGCGCTAAGCATAATCTAGCAGGGAGAATAGCAGTGAACAAGTGGAAACAGCGTACTTACAGATAAATGGGCAGTTAGAACTCAGTGGAATCTGTATGATGGAGAGCGCAGGCTCAGAGAGGATATAATGAGGTTTATTTGTACCTGGGAGGACACTCACACGGACAAATGAAGGATCCAGGAGGGGCATCCTGAATCCGAGACCAGAAGTACAAGTAGGGGTTAGCATGACAGAGAGTTAAAGGGCAGTGGGAGAAGAAGGAGAAAATGCAGGTGGGAGGGATAGCCTGTGCAAAGATCGAACATGAACTGAACATGTTTTCAATTTCTGCAATTGATAGATGATGAGGATGTGGTAGGGAGCATGAAGAATATGCAGAAGAGGCACTTAGGAGACCAAAAGTAGAATGGTTGAAAATTTCAGATGATAGATGGATTTAAGGAGAAATAAAAGACTATTAGCCCAATATGAATGAGAAATTTTGTGTTGGAAAATATAGGCAGTAAGGCTATAATGTGACACTGTAAAATTTACAAATACTATCATCGTTACTCACAGAGCGAAGGATTTACATTTGCTGATAAATTCTTGATGTTAACACTGTATCAGCCAAATGAAGGAGATTCTCTTATCAGTCTCACTTTGAGAATAAAGAAAGAGACCAAGAGAAATGAATGTTACAGTTTCCAAGCTTAGGCAGACCAGCTCTAGAACCCATACTCTTGATCAAAATACAGGATTTCCTAGCTCAAAAAGAAATGCCTCCAGCACTCACTTCTACTGGTCCAATGGGAAGAAACAGTTATCCACAAAGAGGGGCCAGGGAGATGGCTCAGTAGAATAAGCGCTTCCCTGGCAAGCGCAAGGGCCTGAGTTCAATCCCCGGTTCTGCCAAAAAAACAAAAACAAAAAACAGTTATCCACAAAGGGCTGGACTTTGTGAGTTTAAGTAACAACATTGGTGCTCAGTTGTAGAGTGCTAGCTTAGCATGTGAAAACCCCTGACTTCAAAATCCCTGATGCCAAACACAAAACAAAACAAGCAAACAAAATCTTGTCACTATGTGTTTACCATGTGTCAGATACTTAGATCTGTACTTTACATTATTGCTTCAATTAACCCTTATAATAGCTCCCTTTTACAGATGAAAAACCTAATATTCTAGCAGGTACACTAATTTGATGAAGGTCATATAACTAATGGTAGAACCAGGAGTCAACTAAGTCTCAAAACGAGATTTTAAAATCTGTGTTCTTTACCACTCAACTACAGCTTAGTCCCAAAAGTCCTTATAGCTTAGGAAAACCTTTGAGAACACTAAGTCTGTAATTGAGAACAGTGAGACTTAGAGGAGAAAAGGGACTTGGTCAGGGCCACAGGACAAGTAGTAAAGTTGTCTACTCTGAAACCCAGTGGTTCTCACCACTAAACCATATCACTTTACACACTACAGAGGAGTCATCTGATATCTTTCTTTCAGTATTAGACCTGGACATCACTGATCTCCCTGAGCTCCCTCAGGAGTCCTTCACAGATAGCCTCAGACATTTCAGTCCCCAGGAGCCCCTCTGTGAAACTAGTGTTGAGAGACTAGTCCAATCCATCCAGGAGGTGTTTAATGGTAAGCTAAAGGTATGAAAGGTCTGATCCTTCTTTTTTTTCTTAGAAATTTAAGGAAAAGTCTAATTTTTATGAGTTATCCAAATTATTTCTCCATTAACAAGTGTTTAAAACATATATTATTGGAGCTGGGGAGATGGTTCAGTAGAATAAATGCTTGCCTGGCAAGGGCAAGGGCCTGAGTTCAATCCCTGGTTCTAAAAAAAAAAATATATATATTACTGTTTTATTATACAAATATTTTGAATTACAGAATTTACCTATGCCTTTACTTTTACATTTTATATGTATAGTCTATATTTATATATTTCTAATTTACACTTATACAGTCATAAAATTTAGGGCCGGTGAGATGGCTCAGTAGAATAAATGCTTCCCTGGCAAGCGCAATGGCCTGAGTTCAATCCCTGATTCCAGAAAAAAAAAAATCATAAAATTTATATGAAAACAAAACTGTAATGAAACTTTAAAGTTAATCTTCCCAGGGCCAGGGATATAGCTCAGTGGCCTAAGTGCCTGCCTGGTAAGCACAGAGTCCTAAGTTCAATCCCTGGTGCTAAAAAAAAAAAAAGTTAATCTTCTCTAACCCCATACTCCTGGGATAACTACTACTAACATTTGGTAGATACAAAAGTTACATTTCTTGTTATATAGGTCTTGCATTATCTTGGTCTTAACCATCGAGCAGAAAAGTATAAAAACAAGGTATAAAAAGTCAAGCCATATTAATATGCTGCCCTGTAAAAGACTCAAGTCAACAACTTCTGACATTGCCAGTCCTACAGATAACCTACTACTATTATGGACTACTGGACTATATTGGATTATTTTGCTGAATTCACATACCTAAATGACAATGGAATACCCAACTCTGCCAAAACTAAACAAAAACAGGGGATACAAATGGAGGACCATTTTGTGTCTGTATATACAAAATAGTTAGGATAGATATACAGCTAATTTCTCTGAATTCAATGAGAAGAAAGATTTGTACTAACAGTGTTTGGACAAGATATGTCTGCATCTTGTACTATGAATAACCACTGCAAAGACAATATGTAATGTATTAATTATTGAAACTGTCCTACTAATCAGTTTTGAAACTGTCTCATTGCTATTTGTTTCTCAATAAAATTAATTAAAAAAAACAAAAACAGGGGCCAGGGAGATAGCTCAGTAGAATAAGTGCTTGCCTGGCAAGCACAAGGTCCTGAGTTCAATCCCCGGTGCTGCAAAATTAAAAAAAAAAAAAAAAAGAATAAAAAAACCAAAAATATTTGGTATGTGACTATATACACATTTTCAGACTTTTTCTCTCTGTATAAATGCTTATAATTTATATAAGGAAAAAATCAGCTATGATGGTAGGAAAAAATTTTAGATTTATAATTAAAGACTTAAATTATCCTACTTATGGGCTGCTCAACATCCTGTTGTTTAGGTAAAGCACCCATTCATTTCTTCACACGTTCTGTGAGTGTATGTAACAGAAGAACTTATCTTGACCTCTGAGGGTAAGCAAAGGTGCCTCTGAGGAAGTAAGCCTTGAGCTCACATCTGAGCAATACACAGGAGAAACTACAAGTTAGAACTGAACAAGATGGGCTGGGGAGATAGCTTGGCAGCATAAGCACCTGCCTGGCAAGTGCAAGGTCCTGAGTTTGATCCCCAGTACCACACACACACACACAAAAAAACAAAACTGAGAACAGGAACAGAATGTGATATGTTTAACAACCTTGAGGTCGAAAGGAACATAGCATTGTCTGAATAACTCAAAAAAACATAGTATGTTTAAGTCATGGTGACAAAAAGGAACAGTGGTACAAGGTGAGGCTGAAGAGATAATTCCTGAGCCTTGAAAACCAACATAAGAATTTTGGTCTTAAATAATAAATTTAAAAAAAGAATTTTTATCTTTACCTTGAGAATAAATAAAATGAATAAAGAGTACATAAGGAAATGAAGGGCCGGGGAGATGGCTCAGTGGAATATGTGCTTCCCTGGCAAGCACAAGGGCCTGAGTTCAATCTCCGGTTCCGCCACAAAAAAAAAAAAAAAAAAAAAAGACATAAGGAAATGAATGTCCTAATTTAACTTTTAACACTACCCTATTGTTAGGAATAAAACCTAACATTTATTCCTTTTTTTCTTTTTATTTAAATTTTGAAACAAACTCTTTCTAAATTGCACAGGCTTGTCTTGAACTAGTGATTCTCCTACTTCAGCTCCCAAAGAGCTGGGATTACATAAATTGTTTTAAATATTCACTGTACTTTTTGATCGTCCTTTGTGAGGCAGGAGATTAGGATGTGGTAAACTGACTGGGGGAAGTAGGCTTGACCTGATAATTGCAAAGTCCCAGGGTACTCGTGTACATCAGTTCCAGAAGCCCTGCTTGTGGAGTGAGAGTGCTGTCTTCAGTTCTTCTCATAAGAGCTAGAGGAGGTTTTCTTTTCTTTTTTTTTTTTGGTGGCCTGAAGATGCCGTGAGGGCATTTCTGGTTTCCTGTGAGAAACTGGGTTCGAACCAGAGCATCTTGAGCCTGGCTGCTTTGTTTAAGCAGGCACTTAATAATGGGCAGGCGCCCGAGCAGGTTTTCAATAGGATGGCCTAGACTTGCTATCAGCCTGAGGAGTGAGAGACCTAAAGAGACAGTCAGCATTGAGTTTTGGACTATTGTGTTCTCTCTTGCACAGTGGTCCTCCCTTGTCCTGTAGAGTGTACTTATTTTCCTACCTTTAGTTGGCCCAAACTTGTTCTGCAAAGCACATTTCTTTTTCTACTTTTAATAAACATATAATGTCACTGTGTTTTGTGCTTATTTTGACTAACTAATATGAAATCTCAGTACATTTTGTACTTGTCTTGACCAATTATTTGCTCAGCACAGAAAGAACCTGCAAACCATCTCTATAAGGAGACTCCAGAAACCTGATAATGAGTCTAGTTGAAGAAAGTATATCCATATTCTACCACTGGGCTATATCCCTATCCCTTTTTATTTTGAGATAGGGTCTCACTAAGTTGCCCAGGTGGTACTTGAGCTTCCGATTCTGTTGCCTTAGCCTCTCTCACTGCTGGAATTACAGTTGTAATTTAACGTCTGCCATCCTACTATGTCGTAGCTTGCTTGGCTTGGACCTTCATGAGAACAATTATTATGGTAGCTTCTTTTGGGGTAGTGTTTCCAGTAACTCATTTCTGGCCAGAGTCAAAATTCTGCATGACAATCAAGAAAGACTTTGAAGAAGTTAACTGTTATCACCCTTGAAGAGCATCTTAAGCTCAACAGATGCTATTGAAAGAGTATAGATGATCAGGGAATTACCTGATTGAATTTTCATTTGAGAAAGATGTATTTAGCTATAGCTGGGGAAACAGACTGGGGAGAGACAAAACTAAAACAGAGAAATCCCTTATTACATGGCCGTGCTAACTATGTAATGAGAAATCAGCTTCTGACTGTGTATTGCTATCTTCTCTCCACTCTATACCATCAATATACAAGTAGAGGGGCCAGGGAGATGGCTCAGT